ACCTTCTTTTCATGATGTAGTTCTTGTATCTCTGCGTTCCTACGGTTCCTACTTAACTGTGATAGAAGTAATAAATATCGTCTGTCTATTGAATAGTAATCACTCAGAAATATGGAATCAAAACGAGCAAAAAATTTTACGGATATTGAAAAAAGTGATTTAATAGACAAAATATTCAGATATCGTGACATTATTGAAAATAAACAAACCGATAATACAACGATCGAGAAAAAGAATAAAGCGTGGACCGACATTACTAACGAATATAACGAGAACAGGATAATAATAAGAACAGAAAGAAACTTACGCAGTTGTTGGGATAACATAAAAAGAGACACAAGAAAATATTGTGCAGCACGTAAGCGAGAATGTTATAAAACAGGTATGAATATATCATTAAAATTATAATTAAGGTAACTTCTTTTATGTTTTTTATGCTTTTTAATTTGTAGGTGGAGGTAAAATAAATATACCAGAAAATCCTCTATTTGAGCGAGCACAAGAAATCATGGGTGTTACAGCAACAAGTGGATTATATAATCCATTTGATTCTGATTCGATTGACAATGAAAAAGAAAATATTGGTTCTGTTATTGAAATAGAAGAAGATGATAATAAAGATGATAATGATGATTCAGCGGAGGTATTTACAGTAAGTTATCAAAAAATATAAAAACATAGAAAGTCTGTAAAAATTTACCATTTATTTTTAATTTTTAGTATCTACTGAAAAATCAAGAAATTGTTGATTGGAAATCTTGGGACAGGAACAAATTGAAATCACAAATCAGTCCTCCATTAAAGGAAAATATACAATTGACTACATCTACAAATGTGAAATGTATGAAAAGAAAGTATGAAGATGAAACATTAGATAAAGCAAAAACTGCATTAGCAGATGTCATGAAAACAAATATCGAAGAAAAACAGAATTATGAAATAGAATTACTGAAAGCCAAATTAGAAAAAGAGAATTTAAAAATCAATTTATTAAAAATAACAATTGAAAAAGAAAAATTAATAATAGATAAAATTGAAAAACAAAATAATATGACTTTTACATTATAAGGCAAACGAAGTACAAAAATAAGTTATATGTGCAACTTATAATAACAGTATTATTAAATAATTTTAATGTTTAATGTTTTTATTTTACACAAGACTGTTATTTATGATTCTTATTAAGTTTATGTTTCAAAAATGTTGCGTAATATAAAATGTTTTTATGTATTATTGAATATTATTATTTTATGTGTGTAGTTTTTCATAAGAGAAGAATGAAATATTATTGAATATTATTAAGACAAACATATATGTTTATTATTTGTTTATTATCAAATATTAAAACAATACAAAATAAATCGTTTTCTGTGATTTATGTACCTGACGATTATTTTAAATAATATGAAGGTTGATATTTGTATACTGCTTCCAAATATTTTATGTTTTAAAGTAACCTGTAATTATTGAAATAATAATATATTAATATACGCGCGCGGAAACTAAGATATATTATAATTAAATTATATTATAATTAAATTACATCAACATTACCTATTAAAATATTCCAAAATTGCATTTCTTTTATTATTAAAATGTGTATTATCTATACGTTGTATTTGTAGAATGGCATTATTATATATTTGAGGATTAATTGCAGCTGGAATTATTTCCTGTTGAGCAATGTTATGTAAAATAGCTGTTGCCACAATAATAGGAAGTGTTTTTTCAATTGTTTGAAACCGTGTTCCAATTGATAAAATTGCAAATCGTCTTTTCCAAATTCCAAAGCACCTTTCAATTTTTGAGCGTGTCCGAATTTGTGCTTCATTATAAAGATGCTCTGCTGGTGTTGTGGGATTTAATATTGGAGTCATTAGATATGATAAATTTGGATAACCGGAGTCTCCAAGGAGTAAGCCGTCTCCAAATCTATCTGCTTCAAACAATGTTTTAATTCTTGAATTACTGAAAATAGTGGAATCATGTGTAGATCCTGGCCAACGTGCTATTATATCAGTAATTTCCAATCTTGCATTAATAATGACTTGTACGTTTATTGAAAAAAAACCTTTTCTGTTACGGTATAACTCACTGTTTCTTCCACCTAGAATATAAAGAAATTTAATAGAAACAAGATAAGTTTATATGCTAAAATTATTCTTACCACATGATTGAATTTTCACATGTGTACAATCAATACAACCAATAACATGTATAAATCCAGCTGCTTGGAAAAATTCTTGCTGATTTTGATAAATTTGTTCTGATGAAGTAGGAAAGTTTATAAAGTCATTTTTTAATGCAGCAATGGCAGGAGATACTCGATGAACAATTTTATGAGCACTTGATTCGCTGATGCCACAAAAATCACCAACAGTCATCAAAAACGATCCGGTTGCATAAAATCGTAGAGTAACCATTAATTGGATTATAGGTGGAATGGCATTATTTCTATTTTTAACATATGTTCATATATATAAAATATCTGTTCATGTGTGTGTTAATAATCTAATAATTTATGTTGACATTTGTGTTATTCAGTAGTTATTAGTTACACTTTACAGAATTCTCAGTTATTAATTACAAAATAGAGAGAATATTGATTAAATTAGGCTAAATACATGCATTTCCAAATAATATGCGTATAAAATATTTAATATTGATTTTTTTATAATAAACTTATTTCCTTGTTTCATTGCTATTATATATTTTTAAGTTGTTGTATTGACAATATGTACACATACCGATCAGTATTATGTTGTATTTTTACATAAATTTTGTCTAATAGCATATTGAAGCTGTGTTTCGATATTACAAATCTTCTATGAAAATTGGCATCATCAAAAAGTTCTAAATAATTCATACGTGGTCTAAATATGCGTGGTTTTCGTTGTTGATTTCTAACTACAAGATTATAGTATTCATCGTATTCATCAAATAGTAAAAAATTAATAATTTCATCCATGTTAAAACTAAAAAAAATTAGATGGTATGGTTAAATTTAATGACTAATTGTGTTTACAAATTAAAAAGCACCTACAAATTAAAAAGCATAAAAGAAATTACCTTAATTATAACTTTATTGATATATTCATACCTGTTTTATAATATTCTCGTTTAAGCTGCACAATATTTTCTTGTGTCTCTTTTTATGTTATCCCAACAACTGCATATGTTTCTTTCTGTTCTTATTATTATCCTGTTCTTGTTATATTGTTTAGAAATATTTTATTTATTGAATCATATAAAATTTCAATAGATATATATAAATAATAATATAAAAATATTTTATCTATTGAATCATTTTTTTCACTATTCGTAAAATTTTTTGCTCGTTTTAATTCTATATTTTTGAGTGAATTACTATTCTACAGACGATATTTATTACTTCCATCACAGTTAAGTAGGAACCGTAGGAACGCAGAGATACAAGAACTACATCATGAAAAGAAGGT